CTAATCTCTTCTGGAAATTAAACATCTTTCCATTAAAATGTCTCCTCCTCCCATACTCCATGCGGGGTGAAGCCCCCAGGGAAGTCGTGGCAAAGGAGCAGTCGATGCCTGTCGGTCGAATTAGGATGTTAGGGGACTACCGGTGACCAACTGAAGGAGGCTGAGCTGGACCCCTGATGCCCCCAAGAAATGCCTCATGTCTCCGTGTGCGACGATGCGGACATTTGATGATTTAGATCATTTCTCAAGCCCACCCATTGTTTGCCTGTCCCAGACGGGACTGTTGGAGCCCATAAGCTTTGGCCGCTGTTGAGGGTGTTGACGAGTCTCCAGGATAGACAGGCTAGCTGAGCAGCCCCAAGGGCCATCAATGGCCCCACCCACTCTGGTCTGGTCACTCCCAGAGCGAGCAGAGAAGGGAAGGGAGTATCTGGTCACTTGGGCCAGCCCAGCAACCCCAAAGGTAGGTTCCAAACCCCCAAACAGGCAGAAGAGCCCCTGGCTGCATTCTTCCGGAGGTTCCACGTTCCCGGGGTGCGGTGGTTTAAGAGAACCAGATCAGACCTCAGGACCCCACTCTTCAATTCTGCCCTTACACCTTCTCTTTTTATGTCCTCTGAAAACAACAGGGGGTTTCTTTCAAGACACTACAATGTTCTGTGGCTCTTTTCTCCTCTGCTCATTGATTTCACTTTCCACTCCTGTGTTCGGGCAACACTCAGAGGCAGAATGCCTCCTGAACTGGGTTCCAAGTGGGTTTTTTTTTAATGTTTGTTTATTTTTGACAGAGAGAGGGGGGCAGAGCGTGAGTGGGGGAGGAGCAGAGAGAGAGGGAGACCCAGAATCCAAAGCAGGCTCTGGGCTCTGAGCTGTCAGCGCAGAGCCTGATGCGGGGCTCGAACTCACGAGTTGTGAGATCGCGACCTGAGCTGAAGTCGGTCGCCCAACCAGCTGAGCCACCCAGGTGCCCCCGGTTCCAAGTGGGTTTTATTGCCGTGAGCAGACTTTTTCCTGGCTGACTGCATCCTTGATCGATTGGGGTTTCTGAGCACCCAGAATGGATGCCACGGGAGGAGCCAATGTGGGGTTCTCTCTCAGTGTCGCTAATTAGTGAGCGGAGCCCTTGAGAGCCACAGCATTTTAGTGCCAACGAGTAGGATGTTAGAGCATGAAGACAGAGGAAGACTTTTCTTTTTTAATTCAGTCCGGAAACTATGTGTCCATAACCCTCAGAGTTGCTTACCATTCATCCCTGAGGTGTTTGCCCTTTGAGGTTCGTTTTGGGGAGCTCAGACAGCATGCATTTACTTTTTTCTCGCGTTGTCCACAGCTGTGCTTTCTACAGGGGTGACTGCTAGCCGCATGTGGCTGTTGAAAATACGTAACGTTAGGTGAAATCAGTTTACCTCTTCAGTCACCCTGTAATCGTAATTGACCACTCAGTGGCCCCTACGGCTACCATGTTGGACAGCACCGATTTGTATTATTTCCGTCCCTGCGGCCAGTTCTGTTAGCCTGCACCTCTCTAGGACACAGAAGAACTCTGCCTTTAGACACCAAGCCCCCTCCGCCGCTCCTGACCACCTTAACCAAGCCGTTCGACAGACTAACCCCCTTTCCGAGGGATGGCTGGACTTCCAAACGAGACCGTTTTGGGAATTCAGTAAGAGTAACTCTGTAGGAGCGTTTTCAGGGAACAAAAATTCTTACTTCTTCTAATAGTAGTTCCTAGATTGAATAAAGATAGCAAGTGATTAGATAATTATAATAATGGCAGCTATTTTCGCTGCGTACCTGCTGTGTCCCAGGGACTTTGTTCTAAACGCTTTCCAGTATTAACTCTTGTTTCTCAAACTTAAACCACCGCACGAGGTGTGGTGCTATGTTGTCTCCTTTCAGCCAGAGGCACAGAGAGGTTAAGCAACCTGGCCCATATCACACAGCTAATAAGCGGTTGAACGCAGTCAGCGTGACATCACCTGCCTCTCAGCTCTGCGGGTGGCACTGAAATATCCAGAATGCCTCCCCCATGAGGGGAGTAGCAAGCTGGTCAGGATAGTGTAGAAAACACGCCAAATACATGTAAGAGGCTGGCTCAGACTCCGACAATATTAGCAAATTCTAATGAGTGTTCTATACTCTGGGCACAGTAGAAATAAAACAACTTCTCAAAAGACAGTTGTGGTACTTCAGGTGGTTTTGGGGAGATAACTGATCATTTAACATTTATTAAGGCAGACTTTTTATTTTATTTCTAAATTTTTATTTTTTCATTTATTTTGAGAGAGAGAGAGCGTGAGCAGCAGAAGAGCAGAGAGAGAAGAGAGGGAAGAAGAGAATCCCAAGCACGTTCTGCCCTGACAGTGCGGAGAGCCCGACTCGGGGCTCGATCTCATGAACCCGCGAGATCTTGCCCTGAGCCGAAGTCAGACGCTTCACTGAGCCACCCGGGCGCCCGAGATAATTAATCTTGTAGATCGGAAGTTGGCAAACCAGGACCCGCAGGCTACAACCCAACCTGCTGTTGTGTTTCTGTTCATAAAACGTTACTAGAATACAACAGCGCCTTGTTTATGTACCGTCTGTGGCCTCCGTCCTCATTAGATTTGCATAGCTGGGGAGTTGGAACAGATCACATGACCCACCAAAGGTAAAGCACTTGTTTTCTAGCCCTTTCCAGAAACAGTGTGCTGACCCTGGAGTGGATCCTAGGTAGCCGCTCTCGTTAGCAGTGGTGGATTTGCGGACTCGAGGAATGACCCGAGATTGTCAGCAGGGCCCGAATAATTCAGTGGTTTCGTTGCGGGTCACCGTCGCTGCGTGCAGCCCCTGCTACACGTCAGGCACACCTGAATTAATGCTGGCGGTAAACTGGGCGTTACAGCAACCCTCGGGTGCCCGCGTCTCAGCGACCTGACTGCCTTACACGTGCGACTTCTGATGGGTCCCCTAGTTCTCCGCGTGCGTGGACCCCTCCACCCTCACTCTTCTGTGTTCTCCCTTGTCAGGAGACAGGTGCACACGAGGTGGTCACTTAATGCTGCCGCCCCTTAGAGATCATGGCAGAGCGATCTAAGAGGGCAGATATCAAAAGCAGCCATTCTGTACAGTTTGTATCCCATTACGAAGTTAACGGAGATCAAATTTCTCCAAAAATCTTCTGCCCGTCTGTAAAGTTTATTATTTGAGAGAGAGAGGGCACTCCCACGCAGGCCAGCAGGGGAGGGGCAGAGAGAGAGGGAGAGGGAATCCCAAGCAGGCTCCACACTGTCAGCACGGAGCCCGACGCGGGGCTCAAACCCGCGAAGTGCGAGATCGTGACCTGAGCAGAAATCCAGAGTCAGATGCTTAACTGACTGAGCCACCCAGGTGCCCCGTGTCTGCCAGACATTTAAAAAATAACTCTTTTCTTTTTCTGATTGTGGAAGTTAAGTATGCAGAAATTGTAGATGGGCCTAAAAAACGAGGGGAGTCTCCCCTACAAACCCCACCACCCAAGGGAGCCACCGACATTTTTCTTGTACCTTATTCCTGTGTCGTTGAAAATGACTTAGTCTGTTTCGGTTTTATTGAAAATGACTTAGTCTGTTTCGGTTTTATGTAATATTCCATCATAGAGATATAGTATGGTTTGCTAAACTGTTTCCTTTTTACTGGGCGCTTAGGTTGTTTCCAACCATTTGCTATTATAGATAAAACATAATGGCTGTCTTTGTACCTGAATCTCCACCTGCATCATGGGCGTTTCCTTAGGATCAAATTCTCAGAAGCGCGATTACCGATTACCGAATTAAAAACTGTCAAATATATTTAAAGCTTAAGAGGTGTGCGCACCACCCCCCACCCCAGCCCCCACCCAAAATAGGTCATATCATCTCCGATTTAGCTTCCTTCCTGACCTCAGGCAAGACTGCATTAGTCCATGTAATCCTACAACAAGGACTTGAGTGTTCAGTGATAAATCAGCGAAATAAAAACCACAGGCAAATGGGGGCACTTTCCACTGATCTGTTTGGTGATTTGACACTTCTCTGAGGAAGTGGACAGTTTTCCTAGGGTGAGTGTGGTGTGAATGCTCAGATATTTGCCTGGAGACATTCTTTGGGTCCTTTGCTGTAAATCAGCAGAGTTTTTAAACTCAGCTGGGTAAGAGAATTACCTTACAGGTTGGGAAACCACAGGGCCTTGACACCTGCCGTCCTCCCTTCCGAATGTCCTTCCTATGTGGCTCATTGTCTTTGTGCATGTCTCACACACATGTGGTTGCTTTGCAGACGCCTGGGTCACCTCCACGTCACTGCCAACCCCCCCCCCCTCCCCCCACCGATTTATTCTCTGGAGAGTCCTTAACACTCTTTATCACCACTTGGAATTTTGTGTATTCGTTTGTTTACTGTCGGTCTCCCCAAGGGCAGGATTCTCCTCTGCCCTGACCATCGTCTGAATCCCTTCATGTTTTGGTATCCCCCATATTTTGGTACGAGTATAATGAGCTTTGGAGCCTTGGGGACAACCTGGAGAAGGAGCCTGTGACATCAGGAGGAAGGCCGTGGAGGTGGAGGGGATCACTTGGTATTTTCACACTGATTGTACATGTGAATCTGAACCCCGGGCCACTGCCCGCGGCCCCTCCCTGTGTCACAGAGAAGCCACTGCAGGGCCCCTGTGAAGCCAGAGGGCCAGGCAGGTGCCCAGGTTTGATTTCTGCCTTCAAAGGCTCATCCAGTTAAGTAAAGCCCCTGACTTACTGGCTTCACAGGGGCAGATGTCGACCCCGGTACCTCCCTCACACGTGGCACGGAACCACTGCCACCCAAACGTTAGTGATCGTGTCTTGTGGGAAATGCCGCTTCGTCAGCAGGGCCACTGTTAGTCCTGAAGAGTTGACCGTCAGAGCCCCCCTGGCGCTTTAGAACAGCGGTCTCCGCCACGGGGACCGGCCGCCGTGTCAGCACGCGGGTTCACAGACGAATACGATGCCTTCCCTCGTGTTCCGCCAGGTCCAGCACGTACCGCTCCAAGGGCTTTGACGTCACTGTGAAGTACACGCAAGGGAGCTGGACCGGCTTCGTGGGGGAGGACGTGGTCACCATCCCGAAAGGCTTCAATGGCTCATTTCTTGTCAACATTGCCACCATCTTCGAATCCGAGAACTTCTTTCTGCCCGGCGTCAAATGGAATGGGATTCTGGGACTCGCGTATGCTGCCCTGGCCAAGGTAAGGCCGCCATGGACCTGGGTGAGTCAGAGGGGGGACGCGTCTGGGGCCAGTGCTCGGACGGGCAGCGGGTGGGTCCGGGCCGTGGGGCACAGGCGGTCCGTGAGACTCCCGTGGTGGAAGCAGACCGTGGTCACACAGCGCATCGTGTTTCTGGGCATCTGTGAAGCTTAAGGTAAACGGTGCAGTCCTTCGAACTTTCCTGCCAAGATACACCCAAAGCGTTACTTTCTCTCATTTGTCTTCGTTCTGCCTGTTTTACTTCTGCAGTGTAAAAATGTTAACAGAACCTGAATCACTTGAATTATGGTGGTGAGGGGTTTTTCTTCGGGTAGGGTCAAAAGAAAACACATTTTTTTTTTTTTTAACATTTATTTATTTTTGAGACAGAGAGAGACAGAGCATGAACGGGGGAGGGTCAGAGAGAGAGGGAGACACAGAATCGGAAACAGGCTCCAGGCTCTGAGCGGTCAGCACAGAGCCCGATGCGGGGCTCGAGCTCACGGAGTGCAAGATCATGACCTGAGCCGAAGTCGGATGCCCAACCGACTAAGCCACCCCGGCGCCCCCAAAAAGACATTTATTAAACTCCCACCTTCGCGTGGAGACACGGAGCCTGCAGGAGGTCCTGAACCTCAGCCGGGAGGCTCCCCACCACGGAGGAGAGTGTCGTGCTTTCTTGCTGTGGCTGCAGACGCCCCTGTGGAGCCCCCCCTCCCAGAGCCCGAGTGGGCCCTGAACGCACATCCTAGGGACCGCCAGCCAGTGGCCCAGGAGGCGCGGGGGGAAAGCGTGGAACCCTCGCTCTCTTCAGCATCAGAACCTGCACAAAATGGGAAGGACAGAATTGAATGTTCTCCAAACATTTGGACTCAGGCCGGCCCAAAGGAAGGGACGTTGGTGTGCAGGAGTGTTGGGGGGCGGGCTTGCTCACAGGCCCGGGGATTTCCACCAGGAAGGGAGCCAGAGGCCAGCAGATTAGGACCCAGGGTGTGCCCGGGGCTCGGGCTGTGCACACCTGAGCAAAGTGGGAGGTCACCCCACCTAGTCTGCAGTGGGCACCGCACCTTGCCCTGCTCATTGTTCAGTTCCAGGCTTGGAGCCAGAGCGGAGTGTGGAACCACAAGGCGCACGCATGTGGGACCTACCCACCCAGTAACGGCAGAGCCCCCCGTGGTCCATGAGGGCCCAGGAGGGGAGGCCTATTTTCTCGCCCTGCAAGGACGTTTATTCCAGCCCAAGCCCACTAGTAAACGGTGCAGGGGGGGGGCCAGGCGGGGAGGGGGCAGCAGGGAGGGGTCGGGGGAGGTTCCCAACCCTGTGGCTTCTCAAGGAGAGACAGCCCGTGAGGCACATCACAGGATGTTGGTTCCCTTGAATCTCGAGACCTCCCCATGAGGCCAACTTTGGAAGGCCGTGTTCTGCCATTTTATGGCTGTGCAGACTGAGGGTCAGAGAAGCTTACCTTCCTTGCGCAGAGCCCGTCTGCAGACCCCGAGGGGTTCTGGAGCCCCCTTTTCCTCTCAGTACTGTGTGGGGAGCTTAATGGGAAATCTGCAGACTCTTGACCTACATTCCTTTTTGTTAAGTTTATTTTTATTTATTTTGAGAGGTAGAGAGGAGGGGGGAGGAGCAGAGGGAAAGAGAGGATCCCAAGCAGGCTCCCAGCTGTCAGCACAGAGCCCCACGCGGGGCCCGATCCTATGAACCACGACGAGATCAAGAGTCCTACACACAACCGACTGAGCCACCCAGGCGCCCCAATCACCTGCCTTCCTAAATACGATTTCCCTGACAGCGTGACCAAGGACAAACCATTCCCTGTTTACCTGACATTGACCGCGAAAGGTGTGTGCCCGGTTGGTGTCATGGCGGATCATTTGGAGGATGGTAGAATGAAGCTGAATTTCCCGAAATTGACCATGTTGATAATAAACTTCCTGGGAAGTAATGACTCCGGGGTCCCTTTGGGTGTCCGGGCTCCCCACGTGACCTTTTTGTGCGTGAAATTCCGAGATTACCAGTGATGGGGTCCCGTCCCAGCCTGGGGGAGACAGTCGCGGGATGGGTGGGGCGAGGCGCGTGGCGGGAGACCCGTGCCAGGTGGCGCAGTCTGGATTGGGGTCTGGAAGAGACTGGCCGAGCCACTCAGCGGCCACCACAGCGTGTGGTGTCTCGGTCCCCCTACACGCCTCCTGGATCCGGTGCTTTTGGTTGATCCTGGCACCTGTATGTTTTTAAACCTCAAGAGGGATCCTGAGGCGCCGTCCTTCTGAAAAGTGACTCGACAGAGTAACAACGGATCCCTTGCCGGGCACCAGGCACTATTCCAAGCCCTTTGTGCGTACGGACCCATTTGAGTCCCACGACAGCTCTAGGAGGCTATTATTTTCCCATTTTCCAGATAAAGAAACAAAGGAACAAGTCACACGGCTGGCAAGGGATGGAGCCAGGATTTAGTTCCAGGCAGCGTTTATTTACTTCGCTGCCTCCCGTGCGGGTGACCGGAGGCACGGTGGCCTGGGTCAGCACCACACCCGGCCTCCTGCGGGAGGGGACTTTGTCTCTCCGACATCGACCCAGATGCCAAGTCCTCTGCCCACCTCGCGTACAGAGATCGTGCCGACTCCTGGCAGAGAGTCGTGGAAGCAGGACTAGGAGGCCAGAGACAACAGAGTTAAATACGTGGGAAGATTTCTCTTTGCCAGCGGGCTCTTCTCCTCCCTCCAGAATTTCAGTTTTAATTCTTACAGGCAGCAAATAGTTCTGACGGTGACCGTCGGGGGTCAGAATGTGCCAATGGCACCTGTGCCACCACAGGCGAGTTTCCGTCAAGAACCAACAACTCCGAGGGGCGCCTGGGTGACTCGGTCGGTTGAGCGCCTGCCTCTTGGTTTCGGCTCAGGTCATGATCTCACGGTTTGTGGGTTCGAGCCCCGCGTCGGGCTCTGTGCTGACCCCCGTGGAGCCTGCTTGAGATTCTCCCTCTCTCTCTGCCCTTCCCCAGCTTGCTCTCTCTCTCTCTCTCTCTCTCTCTCTCTCAAAAGAAATAAACTTAAGAAACTAACAACTCCAAGTGATTGGTATCTCCCAGTTGTCAAAAATCTGCCCGGAGGTCCCTGACCTGCCCTGAGACCACCAGGGGGAGGCCCACCCCCAGCTCAGAGCTGCTCGCACACCGTGCCTCTTCCTCTGAGTCCTGGAGACTTGGGGGTGCCCAAGTGACTGCCAGCTCCACGGGAAGGGAGGCACGGGCCGCTTGGGCCCAGCAGGGAATAGGGGCTTTTCAACCTGAGGATCCCAGGACTGTCCCTTCCCTGCTGCTTTCCTGCTCCCCGGCGTTCAGTGGGTGCTGTGATCAGAGCTGTCTCGCGGCGCGCCAGACGACCGTGGCTGAAAGGAGTGAGTGACGTTTTCTGAAGCCACAAAGGCCGCACCTGGAGACCGCTCTCTTGTTACTCTGAGATGGCCATGATTAGAGTTCACCGCCCATCTCGGCGACCTACTTCCACGTCTCACCCCTGCCTCCCGGAAAGTCGTGGTGACAAGTGAGACGGCGTCATGGTTGCTCTACACCTACCCTCTTCTTTTTGCATGCCGTCCCCGCGCAGGGGCCTCGCTAATCTACCGTATCGCTCCAATTTTAGAAATACTGTCTTATTTTTACAACAGAGCCGCTCCAGCGGGGAAAATGCCGCCTGGTGGGAAGTCTGTTGTAGGTTTTTCTGAATTACTGCAGCTTGTTTGTTGTTTAGCCATGAGACGAATTAGGAAAATAGTTGGTACATCACGCGTGGTGTCTGCTTTGGGTCACTCATCTGTGCCGTCGCCGTTTTCCCTCCTACAGCCGTCAAGTTCCCTGGAGACATTCTTTGATTCTCTGGTGGCACAAGCAAGAATCCCCAACGTCTTCTCCATGCAGATGTGTGGGGCGGGACTGCCCGTCGCTGGATCCGGTACCAACGGAGGTAGTCTTGTGGGTATCTTTTAGTCTTAAAGGGGGGGAAAAATCACAAATCAATCGGGCAGTTTTTTCTGTTTCATTGACACCCTGATAGGAATAGTAGACGTGGGCGCATGCAGAAGTCCTGTGGAATTTTGATAACCTTTGTTCTAGAACCTTTAGAAAATGGATACAATTGGGAATTATTTTTATCTTTCCTAATTACCTTGCCATCCAAAAGCTGATGATTGTCATTGCTTCCCCCAAATCCATTAAAGGTTCTTAAAAAATTTTTTTTCTTTGAAGGGTAACAGTTTTTGGCGGGTTGGAGAGGGGCAGGTGAGGAACCGTAGGGGGTGCGGTGAGCGGGCTTTTCTCTGCCTTGGGGAAGCAGAGGGAAATGCTGGTGATGTCATCAGTGCGGTGGGGAGACAGGCACACCTGTATATCCTTTGTCTCTCTGTGCGCACGCGTGCGCACACAGCGGAAAGCTTTCTATTAGACAGATCAAAGCCATCACCGCTGTGGATATGCTGTGGCCTGGGCGTCCCCTCAATGAGCCCTGCACCCCGATGTCTAAAGCAGGAGGTGACAGGGACGATGTACAAGAAGGGCACCTCAGGGCACATGCCCACAACCCCTCTAATCGAAGCAAGCCCAGTTGCTTTCGTTTGCTAACAGTACACACAGTCTTTTTTTTTTTTTTTTAACGTTTATTCATTTTTTGATAGAGACAGAGCGTGAGTGGGGGAAGGGCAGAGAGAGAGGGAGACACAGAATCCGAAGCGGGCTCCAGGCTCCGAGCTGTCAGCACAGAGCCTGACGCGGGGCTCGAACTCATGGGCCGTGAGATCATGACCTGAGCTGAAGTCGGACGCCCAACCGACTGAGTCACCCAGGCGCCCCAAGTACACACGATCTTAATACCTTATGTACCCCCTTTTCTGGACAGAGGGCAGCCTAGGATTCATGGGGCGATGTTTTATAGTTTGACAGCATGCAGTTTTGGGTAGGGAAGCTCTTTTGTTCTGCTTTCCACGCACAATTGTAAGACAGTAAGTCTAAGTCCTCTGAGGAACTAAATTCCCGTCAATCAACGCAGTTAACTATTTCGCTTCATGTGTTTGGAGGAAGCGAAGTCTCGAGACCATAAGGCTAAATTGTATGTACTTCCTTTACATAATGGAAACCCCCAGAGCATCTCGATTAAGCTAGGGTATGATATTGTTGGACCTTTGGATACATGGCCCCCCAAACGTTCCCTGTTTAATTTTCAAGCACATCTATCTGTTTTGTAACATCACAATAATGTGAAGGTACTGATCCCAGTGAGGATTCACCTTCTGATCGCATGCTTTCTCTGTGTAACGTGTTGCTGTGCCTACGTATTTCTTCTTACCCCCGTAAATATTTTTCTTCTCAGGTCCTGGGTGGAATTGAACCAAGTTTGTACAAAGGAGACATCTGGTATACCCCTATTAGGGAGGAATGGTATTACCAGATAGAAATTCTGAAGTTGGAAATTGGAGGCCAGAGCCTTAATCTGGACTGCAGAGAGGTATTTGCACCGTGATCTCTTTGTGTCTACCCCTGCGTGGCTGGGTCGCTTAAATACTACCGCTGGGACCCGAATAGAAAAATAGAAGGTCCGTTACGTTACAAGATAAATCATAGATTCATTACATTAAAAGTTACAGGGCCTTTTTGTATGATAATGAACTCCTCCTTCCAGAAAATTTGTTTCCTTCCAGTCACTTGGCTTCGCAGGGGAAAATTAGCATAAAATGGTGTGTGCGGAGGACTGTCCCAAGGGCCACGTCTGTCACTGTTCGTCTGGGCCTGCTGGTGACTGGACTGTGTTGAAGAGAATAGAATAAGCAGGTTTCGTCAGTGCGACGGGGAAAGGCGGCCGGGGGGCGGGGGGGGGGGGGG